ATCAAGCAGTCAATATTAAGTGTTTCAATGTTTATATCTTATTCTCACTTTCATCTATCGTGTATAAATATCTAACGTACAATGATAATATTGCGAGATAATCCTCTATGGGAACGGAAATGGATGTAAAGCTATTTGATGTAAATATAATTTAACTGCCAATGAGGAAAATAATTTTGATTGCATTGAGATGATTTTATGAGGGAGCACGTGAAATTTATATTAAAATTAGGTTGGCAGTAAGAATTTTCTTAATAAATTTGAAGTATCAACCATAAAAGGTACACAGTTTTTCTAAAACATCATCGTCTTGTCAAAGGAACTTGCCATGATTTATTGAATTTTATATGAATTGTTTTCAACTTTGATGTACACAAAATCTCATCAATTTGGAGACCAGTGCTAGATTTAAGGGGTATGACCAAAGATAGGAGACAATTTGAACCAAGTCATTATTTAAACTCTTTGGTTGAAGCTCGAAGTCGATGAAATGTTGAATGCTGTTGTATGGAGTCGACTCCGCCATACAAAATCGATGAAAATCTTGAGTCGACTTTGAGCTCTGCCTTTGGTTTTATCTCGCTTTTATGTTATCAATCCTAATCAGGGGCAAAGCAAGATGTAGGGTGGTTTAGGGTCAACCAACCCCCACCCCATTCCTAGATAAAATTTTGTCAATTTAATGGTGTTGTAAAAAAATCCTTAGCACCCTAGTCATATAATTATGTTTTAACCCCCCCCCCCCCCCTCCCTCCTCAATTTTCAAAAAGTACCCCCCCCTCAAATTCTTCTTTGTAAACCCTTCAGAATCAAGATAATGCGAACAATTTCAATTTTATTTGATATCCCATCAATACTCATATTAACATTGAATAGATTACTTAACTACATATCCATGTCTTTATGCTTGCTCTTTATTTCATTCAGCTCTTGCCTTTCTGCATAAATATACCATTGAATATCGTTCGCTTTCATTCGTATTGACTTCATGCGATTAAATTACTTAAAGAGTTGAGGAAGTAATACGAATTAAATAGAGCTTGTTCTATTAAGGCAAAAGGAATCAACTAGACTTGTGAAATAAGATGGAAGCTAAACAGCAAGGTCTCGTTATTTTAGTAGCATATCTACGACTTAATCGTCTTTCTTTTTTTCTAATATAGTTGAAGTATTAAATTTGATTTTTTTTTGTCGGGTTTAAAGAATTAAGCGCATTTTTATGGAACAAGGTCAAATTTTGCCGGATTTTAGATTTTCCAATTTAAAAAAAATATTTAACAGTTTTGAAACAAAAAAAATTCACAAAATCTGTCTTTGCTGCATCTGCGATATAAATAACAATTTTTCAGTCCGTCTGATAAACAGACAATTTTCAGACAGACTCCACTACCATAGCCCAAAATTCCGTCTAAATAAGGAAGCGAGTAAGTAACAAAGTGAACAAGAAGATGTAAAAAAATTGAAGTGAAATGTGTAAATGAAATTGAGAGGATGAGGAAGTTTATGTTTTTCACTCTCGTACTCAACTGAAAGGCATGATTATATATAAATAGATGAAAGGAATGGAGGGCAAATAAGAAGAAAAACAAGCTCTGCTTTCTTTCTGATAACTCATTTGTGCTTCTGTGCATTTCAATTTTTCATGTGTTTTTAGGCTTGAAACTTAAATTCTCACCTCTGTTGTCTGTTTATTTATTTCTCGTGGATATTAAACTTAATGGATGCTTCAATATGTTTTGAATTGCTTATAAAATAAACTAGACAGTTTATAACTTTTATAGATGGTTGGAATGAATAGTTTACAATGAATCTTGTCAAAAATTTTGAAGATTCCAAGAAGATTCTTTTGACTGAGTAAGCAATTATTGTTGGATGATGAATAGTGGCGCCAAAGTATCGATTGAGAATGGTTCTAGGAAGATAACTGCTTACTAAAGAAGTGAATACTCTGCTACTTCTATCCAGGCATCTGTATTGAAAGTAAAACTGTTAGAAAAGCCATAAAAAATTTAACTCTTAAAAATCAAACCATCTTAAACTGAGATGAAGACGATATTCATCCAATAAGGATGAAAAAAAGCCTCAGACTCAAAAAAATGAAGTCAAAAGAGCAGAACGAGTGAATTTCGTGATTGAAATTTAAAATTAAACAAGAATCCATACACATACAGGCATCTCAAATGAGAATAAAAAGAATCAAGGCTCAAAAACAGCGGCACAAAAAAAAAATCTTATTAACAAAATTACATTCTAAGTAAAAAGTTATTCAAATGGAATTAAAATTTTTCATTCTTCTTCCACTTCTCGTTCTGTCTCTTGTGTCTGTTGCGGATGCCAAGTTCTATCATCTCACTAGCATGATGCCATCCTTCTAAATGTTGACGAGGTCAACCTCTTTTTGGCAACTTTTAATGAGCTTATTCAATACCTCATTACCGTCAAGTTAGTCTCTTCGTTCTCCTCTCTTTTGAATATTTACGGGGGTCTATTTGCATATGATGTGTGTCATACAATTTAGTTTGTCATCAAAATTTTCATTTTCATTAAGTTTAAGAGAAGCTATTGACATCAAAAAAACTTAAGACATCATTTACGAACAACCCCCTTCTTTACTTTAAGGTTCATGTTCTCAGCTTTTTTATGTGGTTTAGTCATCAATCAAGCAGTTACTTTCTTGTTGTTCATTATCAATCCTTCAATGTTGTTCTTTTTATATTAAATTGTTAGCTTTTATGCTCAAACTGAGCTCCCGTCAGATGCAAAAAGAAGGAAAAAAATTTAATTTATGTTTCGTGAAATTATGTTGGAATTGAATTTGTGTAATCAATTACGCATCGAGCTTCAGTAAAAAATAAATAAACTTGTGTTTATGATGGACGTGTATCCCTAGGGAAGTATAATTCAACATTCAAATGGATTTTCGATTTTTCACAGAAGCCTGCAATATTGCTGAAAGGATTGTGTAACTGTTATGGAATATGATTGTTTAATTGACTGTTACTCTAGTTAAATTAATGCATTTAGTGGGTATCAGATCAGTATATATCTATAATAAAGCAATACTAATGCTATGAAAGCTTCATATGATGAAAGTTTATGTTCATAACCTCAACAGTTCAAGATCATATCATTAAAAGCCTGTTCCAAAAAACCGTAGGATACAGGTTCGATTCTTATTTATGAGATGTTGTGAATTCTTCATTAATTAAAGCAATTAACAACTTTAAACTGCATCGCCATTTATACAAGTCAATCTAATATTTAAAAATTCCTCAAAATAAACTTCCACAAAAAATCTCTGTACCTTTAAAAATAATCCTAATATTCAGAATCTGAATTAAAGATCGCATAACAATAGAGACGTAATTGCTCCCATTTAATGTTTACATTACATAAAATATTTATTTGTATGAACGCTTTTATTTATATTGAGCGAATAATAAAAATATTTTGTATGTACAGATGGAATTTTACTAAGCACTCAAGCACATTTGAGATAAGTGGACCCGGTTGAGTAAACAAATCATTCACAATTGCTAGTAATATTGCTCAATCAATTATTATAGTTAATAATAACGAGATTTGCAGTAATTTTAAAGTGATTTTTATCGAGAAATAATTGAGGAATTGAAACTGAAGATTATGTTCAATTTATAAACAATTACATTACTTTAACGATCAATAAAATCTCACAATAATCATAATAAATCTTTTTTATGAATATTTTCTTATTGCACATTTGATTCTAGTGTTTATATTGTGGTTTCATCTGACTGTGGCTACTGAAATGTACAACTGTGAATAATTAAGTCTGAAACTTGAAGTTTGAAATCTGATTAGAGTTCAAATTTAAAATGTTTTTGAATTTCCTACACATTTTCAATAACAATAACAATTTATTGTTTCTAAGTAGTAAAAGCTTACAAAATAATGTCAACAAATTACTTTCATGAACATTTTAAGTTTTCTTGGAATTTAAATTTATTTAATTTTATCAACAAGAACTCCCTTTATATGAAAGTATTTCAATTTAAACAATTCATTTCATATCCATTAAATTGAAATGTTTAATTTACATCAAAACACGTGAATTGCTTCTGTTTTAAGCATGTTAAGTAGATTGACATTCATTTTACTTAACCTCCTCCATTCTCTCAATTTTTAATGAGTTTATAATGTAAGAATATCAAATTTCCAAAACCTCCAACTTCCTTCATACTCAACCTTATGTAAACATGATCTTACAAAGTGTTTTAAATTATAAAGTTAATGGATATTTTCAATTTGAAAGCTTATTAAGGTTTTGTGGATTACACGTCTAAAGTTTTGTAAGTTGGTGTTGTCATTAGTTTAGATTTTGTGGTTTCTAGTTATCAAAATACTATATTCTAGCTTTGATGAGGTTTTTTGGTTAAGATTTGAAATCAAGTTCTAATTCAAATTTAGGTGAACATTACTTTGGTTATTTGAGAATTGAAAGACCCATTTAGAAAGAAAATCGTGATCAACAAACTTTTAACAGTCATTAAAACAACCAAAATTCTTTCCCAAAGATAACAAATAACAAGAATGTGTGTTTAATCTACAAACATAAAGAATTTTCTTCTTCCTACCCACATATATAATAGAAAGTAATTAGAAATACCTTAAAGTATCAATATGCCATAAATATTTTTTTTCTCACACAAAATCATGTAAAAAGAAAGTCGTTAAAGGAGAAACCACTGAAACCAATTTCAGGCGTGTTATTTCCATAAGGAAAATTTTTTTCCACGTCAGAAAAACAAATTGGAAAAGTTCCAATGATTTCTCATCATAAACGTTTTTGTTTTTCATTGTTGCGGATGCCATAAAAAGACAAGCATTTTTGTGTATTGAAGAAATTTTAAGAATCAGAAAGAGATATTCTTTTGTTTTATGGTGTAAAGATTCGCAGAGTTGCTAATCTAGTATTTCACGGTCTGATCAAGATCAATTGTTATTTATCACTTTTCATCCAGGTGATTTCGATAACAATCTTCATATGATCAAGAAAAGACGAGTTGCATTGTCGTGTGAAGATTGGTTTTTTGATGCATCAGTTTTAACCAATGAGTTGTGATTAAGATCTTGATCATACTCAAAATTGCTTTAGCATGAGTGAAACACTGAATACGATGACCTGTTAATAACTAGACTTTGGGGCAAACAATGTCAAAATCTATAGTTCCACTAGGGCAATCTTAGCAAATAAGAATATAACAGTACTGGAATCACGATAAAATAATAAAATATGAGGAATTATATTGAAACTTTAATATCTCCAAAAATAAGTAGCTAAGTATGAATTATGGGCAGTTAAGAATGGGAAATCAAGCTATTAATTTATCAATCTTGCACATCATTGCCGTTGGATTAATTCATCATTTTTTCTCGGATTCCCTCCTCATTAGAATTTTAAACAAAATTATTTCCTAAATTACGCAAAATCAAACAAAATCTCTTCATACAGTTAAAGCACAACATGGAGCACATAAATTACCAAAATTTAAGGACCATTAAATGTTGTTAAGTCGTTGAAAAATTGATCATCACATTTTATGTAAAACACCCTCCGAAAACATAAACAAATGTGCTACAACAATTAAAAAGGCCGCCCCTTGCTAAATTTGCTCATCATTTTCATCGTAAACAAGAAAGTCGCAAAATAATATTCGGCATGTTTCACTAAAGTGGGTTATCCTCGATTTCGGATTATCCACTTCAGTTTTTCGGAAATATCTCCAGACGCTTAAGGTTATTAAAAGATCTAAAGTGTGATCTCCTTAAAGTACTTTGCTACTTAAATTAACATATACTAAGAATTTATATATCTTCATTAGATTGAGAATTATAGCAAAATTGAATTTAATCTTCTAGATTTGGCTAGAAAATTGAATAATTAATACTTCTTAATGAAAATTAAAAGTTTAAAGTGTACAGAAATTTCAGGCATACTTCACTCTTTTATAATCCAAAATTAGAGAAACCACACCTTCCATAAAGTTTAAGATATTTACAAAAAACTGAAATGGATAATCCGAAATCGAGGATAATCCACTTTAGTGAAACAGGCCGTATGTGCTTTGGGGAAAAATAAGTTATTTTAAACAATTCATCAACGACAGACAGTAAGTGTCTCAAAAAAAAAACTGGGACAGGAGAGAACAATTCTGTTCTACATAAATTGAATGGACATGATCCATAAATTTCAAACATTTCCGAGACGGAGTAAGTAAGAGGATGCAAATCTATGGCAAAGTTTTGTATTTCTGTATCAAATTCTCGTAATTTTTCACAAGAGAATGTAAATTAATGTCCAGCAATTTACGACTTGAATGAACTCTTCGCATAACCGAATGTACATGCACAAGTCTTTGCACATAGATATTACGAAACGGGTAATTTGATACTCGCAAAAAATTATGTACTTGCATAGACATGTAGGGGGATGGTGGCTTGGTTGATGACGGAACAGATGTGTCCTTATGGGGAGTTAAGTAATCTTTCTCTTAATAGAAACTTTCAGAATTCTAGGAAATGTAATTTACTTAAATCTTGATAGCTTCATACCTAACCTAAATTTTCAATTTGCCTTATTTGACCATCCCCTATGCATAGACATGTTCGATGGAAGGAAAAGTTTTTCATGAAATTGAGACAATTTATTTTTATTATACTTTAAAGGAATCACTTGATGCATGCAAATAGAATATTGAAGCTCACCGATATTTTCCTTTTAAAGCTATTGGCAAATAACTGCTTTCATTTCGTCTTGTTGCGAGTAGCACTGACCGTTTTTCTTGTGCTGTTATTTTCTCATTCATAATTCATTTATTTCCATCATCAGTGAAAGGCTGTTTACACATGATGTCTATCTCAATATTATATTTTTCCCCTTTTATCATTGGTTATTCAGGATAATAGCATCATGTAGTTTCAAAATTCTCTTCTGGCTTGACTTCATTGACTAACGACCCCATATCATGTCATAATTTTGTTAGGAATGTTTTTGCTCATGTATCACATCACATCCTGTATCATTGCTCGCAACGATTGTTTTGACATTGAAATGATAAAAAAAATCTCGTGATTTATGACTTTTAATCATTTAAATAAATTATTGTACTGCTCTTTCGTGAAAAATATGTAGAAATCAATGAAGTGTGATTGAAGGGAATTATTAATGCAGGATAGAGATGATTTGATTTTCAATTGATCTGTAAATTGCTGTAGATTGAACTGTTTTTGCAGAGGTATCAAAACATCTATGGGTTGGCTTGAGGATAGTGTTTTAATTACTATCTAGAGCACCTAACCCTAGTCACAGTCCAAGAAGAGTTAAACCAAGGTTGACCTACATTTTAATATTTTACTGATTTCTCAACAATACTGTCCAATGGTTGTTTTATATTTTCTAACTCTAAAGCTTCATCTTCAGAAGCTAAGTATTGCTGTTTCAAATAATAAAACTTCTTTCAAAATCTAATTAAATCTGTTCATCAACAAAAATAAATTCATTCATTACAAAACTTTCTGTATGACTTCTTCAACTTCTATCTACTTCATTCATACTCGTATAGACTCGTATGAATAATACAAAACTCATTCGTCTGTATTTTGCGAATCTGTTTATGACAGTTCATTCATTAATCTATCAGAAATCTTGAGAAATCCTCTTATCATCTAATGACTATGCAATCTCACCTGTTAACAATGAGCTTAACAAGCTCAACTTGCAGTGAACGAAAGACAATGTTGCAAATGTTGTTGGCAACTTAATTAAGATGGATTACTCTTGTTGACTTGTTGATGAACTTGGTGCAAACAGCTTTACACTTCAGTTTTAGATGTAGAAGCTAGCAAACAGTCATCATCATCAATAAAGTTTTTCTGTTTTGTCAAATTGTGAGATTCACAATATGTTTTCGTGAGTATGCTACATTTTAATGAAAAAGTGATTAATAATGTTGTTAGATATTGCTTTTAAGAGATATACTCAAGAATGATTGGAATTTTTGAGGTTAAGAGGCTGAATATTCTTAAGATTTGTGACCTTTTAAAGGTTCTTTCATTAATTCTGATGTTTTATTGTTGCTACAGAGTTGTTGAACTTTCGTAAGTTTCAATTGAGCTATATTAAGGAGCAAGCAACTAGTTCATGCAAAAATAATCAAAATTCAAATTCCATTCGACCGTTAAACATGTTATTTTTAAATTACTGACCCACTTTCACTTTCAATTGCTTCCAACACAAATGCTCAAATATTATTGTATAGCCAACTCGATCAAAGTTCAACTCATTTACAATTTTGAGTTCCTTAGTCCCACAAGAGTATTCAATTTTCCATTCAATGCGCTTATAACACATCCAATATATTTTCAATTTTCATCTCATCACCCACACAAAGAAACAAAAAAACTAAAACATTTCGAACGATGGAAAGAGGATACGTGAAGTGACATCATCTTCCATTTGAATGACAAGAAAATTGAATTTTAGAATGCAATTTGTAAGGTAATCGATGGAGTATGAAACATGCCATTTTATGGATAGTTCTTTGTTGGTAGATAAAATGATGTGGGAAGTAGAGTCGTATAAATAGCTATAATGATAAAGTATTATATTACAAGTTGCACTTGTGCTGTGTATAGATACATCTGTGAATACATTTTGATTATCTTCGAGCTGTACAAGACCTACTATATTGAGGATAATAGGATAGTATATTGAATTGAATAGAGATCATAGTTATACTATATTTATATGCTGATCCTGTGAATTTGAGATGTAATTAACTCTTTAGCTTTAGTTTAAAATTCATAATGTAGCATATAGAATTATGATGTCTAGGTTAGGTGTTGTTCCAATGTGGAAACTAAAGATTTTTAAAGCTTTTTTGAAGAAGCTTTTAGCAGTTTGTCTCTTCGGATGATTCTTTGAGCGTTCCTGGTATTGAATTTTTTGTAAATCTACAAACTCGAAGATTCAAAATCTTTAGAGTTGGCGTAAACCGAGAATTCAAATTCTGATTTAAAATTGTAATCACAAGACAAAGATTTCTTCAATGCTTTTAAAACATCGACATGACTTAAAATTCAGTTTTTAAATCATCAAACGATCAAAAATGTCAACAAGCAAGTTTGAACATCTCTTAAAAAGTTATTGAAAATTGAGTTAAATATAGAGTATTAAGGAACTCCTTAGAGAACAAGCTTTGACAGCAACGAGAAACTTTCAATCAACAAGCAAAACTTAAAATGAATAATTTTTGACTCTCTGTTGTCAGAACAATGCAGTGCTTGCATTCTGTTGTAAAACCAGATAATCAGATGATTTTACATGCTGTAAATAAGCAATAAAAGCTTGTTCATCATTTGTAATGAAAATCTGTAGCGATAAAAAGAAATTAATTGAATATTTTGCAAATATTTTGTGGATTCGCAAATTAATTGATTTTTAATGTTCTGCGAAGAGTCATTCAAGAACTAGCTCATCTGCTATATTTCATTCTTAGAACAACTTGAGCGAGCAAAAAACAACTCAATATTTAATTTGTATATTGTTTGTGCTAGCTTACGTGCTGTTTTGTGGATAAGCTAGTTGTCTTGTCGTGTCTTTGCATAATATTTCTTCAATTCGTTTATTTTTATCCGGAAACTTTAGTTTTATTTATTTTTATTCCTGATGACTTTTTCGCCTCTTTCATTTTCGATTATCGTGAAGCAATTTTGTCCACTAAAACTGCAAAAAATGTTTGTAAATATCCAAAGCATGTTTCATTTAAGGATTAGTGGTTAAGGGCCGTTTACTTATGTCATCCAGGGGGGGGGGGGGGGGTGTCAGCAAGAAAAGAACAATAGAAATTCCTGAAAATCCATTGTTCATTTTTAAAATGACCATTAATTTTGGACGTCATGAGTAAACGACCCTTTAAGACTATTGATATTATTAATATATTGCGAATCGCTTGCCTTTCGGAACTAATCTCTTTATGAGTTCGTCAAAAACAGTGTTGAGCAAAGCTACAGAATTTCATCTGACCAAATTGGGATTAAGTTTCATTAATTAATCAATATTTCGCACAGATCTGCGTGTTATAGCAAAAAAATTACCATTTCTGATGCTATCATCATCACTTTTAAAACAGCATTTAATTAAATGTTAAAATAAGCTTACAGCCAAATGCATTAATTTAAATTGAAAAGTGATTCAAGACAACACAATTATGAGTTTTCGGTATGAAGCAATTACGTTAAAACACCCATCACGAAATTGTGTCGCCTATATATCAAGGATTTATAGCTGAAAATGTGTTTTAAATATCATAAATCATTTAATTTATTTTTCTCTACACAAAAATGAGCTTAAATTTTGATAAATATTCATATTTCTCGCTTGGAGATACGCTATAATCAAAATTCTACTCAAGTTCCGGAGAACTTGCTAATGATCAAATAATGAGGCAATTTTATATCATGCAAGGTTTCTAATATCAAAAAACTCGTATCCATCGTCGTCTAGAATTTTTCTGATGATTTATTTCATTATTTATGAGTTCTGAGGTTTGCTTGAATTGAACATCTAATTATGACTTGAAATGATAGTTTCTAAAGGTTTAGATTACGTATTAACAGTCATTTTGATTTCAAATTTTCTAAAAGCTCTATTTTCATTGAATTTCAAAAATTCGAAATTTCATTTTTACGAACTTTCATTTTTCCGAAAATTAATTTTTACGAGATTTTTTATGAATTTTAATAATCGGTTAATTCCATCGCGTGCACAATTCTTATTAATTATGAAAAAAACTTTAAAATAAAAAAAAAAACACTTTCAAAATAAGATATTTCTTAACTTTTTTAATCAGTCTTGGTTCACATTTCAAGATACAAAATAAAAATAAATAATATTAGGCTCTTAAGTCGTTCTTAACTTTCACTAAAGCTCTTAATGTTTCTATGCGTGGCACAGATTGTCGTCGATTGATGATTGATTTTATTGCATTTTCAGTACGCTCAAAACCTGGCATTCTGTGCTTTTGAGGTTTTCCAGTAAGATATTTATCAATATCTAAATCAATTGAAACGAATTCCTTTTTTAAAAACTGCAAGAACTTATAAATTGGTTGACGTTCATTGTCAAGGATGCAATGTATTTTATGATGATAAGATTCAGCCCAGTTTTGTGTCGTTGGATAGCCATTTAAGAAATTGTCATATATGCTCCAAAATGTTGGTCTATATCTAGGTTCTCTTCCTTCGTTGCCTTGGATATAATTGATTTTGAACCAAAGTGCAATTTGTTGTGCTTTTTGGGATAATGTAATAAATAAAGCATCAAAATATAAAATAATTTCGTTTGGCGGAAAGTAAGGTAAAGACATGATGCAAGAAATTTCAATGTAAAATGCGTGATCACGAAGAAAGTCCTTATAGTAACCACAAGATTTAACACGTTTTACTATATTTTAATAATTAATAATAATTGAATCATTAGCATGCGGAAATGATTTCTGGAATGATACTGATACTTTTATTTCAAAGTCGAATAATGCATGCGTGAAACGAATTCTCTTTCCACGATTTTTTGCGATCTGTTGAATCAAACACAAAGCTTTATCGTACAAATAAACAGACTTTCCTGACATCAACATAACGATCTTCTAGAAGGTTTCCGTGAATGATAAGGAGTTGGTAAAAAAGCTTTGGGCATGTCTGGAATGTTCCATCAGCCAACCAAATCTCGCTATCACATAAAAAATTGAAGAAACGTGATGAAGAGAAAAAGTAACTCTTTTAAATCCATCGTTTTCACACCAATCTCCAAGTACAATAAACTCGTTATAAATGGAACAAAAGACTCTATCATATTCAAAATCCAAAGATTCAGGTTCAGGAGGCAATTTTTCGCTATTTTTGACTCGAACACGTTGCACACGTTGAGTAAGTGCTTGTCTTGATGGAAAGTTTGCATTTATGTAGCGGTTTTCAGGATCGGCCAAGAAATCATTCAATATTTGACAAGGACGAGAACCATCAGCAGCAGCTTTCTCTCTAAGATTGCTCAAAGCAATTTCTGTTGCTGTCTTAATAGGCTTGACAATATGATCATGACTTAATTTTGGGGGAAAAACATTACAAATTCCATTTTCAGTTGTGACAACCTTAATACGTGATTTGCATCCAATGTTCTTATTGGCGCATTGAAAGTAGCTTATTGATCCTGTTGTTTTGTTATGATAAAAACTATATTCGTCAAATGATAATTTCTCATTGCCACTGGATGTTGTAAAAAATTTGATGCTTTGCTATTAAAATGAACAATCAGAAAACACAAAAATAGATAACTCAGAATTAAATAATTGAATTACTTAAAATACATACATCATTATCTTCAGCAACATAAATTTCCGATTCTGAATTTTCTTCATAATAATCTTCCAAACACTCGAATGATTCGTATTCAAGTTCTTCCGACATGATTTTGCAATACACAATAAATATCACTTAGAAACTTATGAAAACACTGGATTTGTTGATGTTTTTAATCATAAATTATCACTTTAAATAAAATATATTGTTTAGTAAAAAAATTTCAACCACGTTTGGATATTATTTGTTGTGAATGGTTTGGACTAAGTCCAATTCTTCAGTAAAATAATAAGGTAAGTAAAAGCTGTAAAAGAAATAGATTAAATAACGGTTTATCACGGACGGACACGAACAGACAGATTGACAGAAATGACTTCAGACAGAGCGACACATTATACAAAACGAACCCCCCTCCCTTACATTAAAAAAATCGGTCGACCTTCATCCCATTAATTAAATTAATAGCTTGAACAAGTGATCTTCCTACGAACCCATGAACACATTTTTTTCACCGACCTTATAAATCCAGGAGATTTAAGTGGAAGAGTTGGACATACACAGCTGCTTCTATATGTACTGCTCGATGTGACATACTGAAAAATAAACAAAATATGAATTATTAAGATTATTAAGATTATTAAGATTCAAACACCGATTAAGATGAGAACAAATTCTGAACAGACGACTCCAATGAACCTTAGAAAGCAAACTATTACTAAATGAACACCATTCAGAATTCAGACGACGACGAAAAACAAAAAACAATTGAAAGCTTTTAAATAAGGGATTTATTTCTTACCTTGCAGTCTTGGATTTTTGCCAAAACATTGTATTCCAGGAGTTCGCGTTTGAGTTTTGGACATTTAGCAAGAATCTTGCGTGTTTGAGCGTTTAAATTTTGAAAGCCGTAAAATTCATCCCAAACCTCAAGAAAACTCAATAGCTCCTTCTTGATTTTGAATGGACTGTCCTAGAAATGCTCCAGCAAACAACTGAATTCATCTCGAAGTGCAGGATGAGTGTAATCCTAAAGGAACAAAAGAATAATAACATTAGTGTGAATAAGTATGGCATCTAATAAATAAATATAAGATGCAATGACTTACAGCTAGTTTCCTCAGACTTTGCCAGTTGTTGTATTCTTCGAGTCGCTTTTTAAAGTTTGGATGGCGCTCCAAGAATCGATTAATTTCTTGCATCAACGTCCTCGACCTCAAACTCAATGCTAAGGTAATTTAGGAAGTCTGTTTTAAGCGAGTACGATTCATTTACGAAATATGTCAAGAATCCCCGGTACAACTTTGTAGTTCTTGGATCAGGAAACTGGAAAAAGAGGAATGAAATTTTAAAATAAATTATCAAAACTGCTAGAATCAGAAATAGGGTTTGTGGAAAACAGCTGTTTTTGAAAAACAATCTGTTTTCGGTTTTTGATTTTTAAAAACAGCTGTTTTCCTGTTTTTCTAGAATTTAAAATAAACTGAGTTATCCTAAGTGTTTCTCTAAGATAATGAAATTTTTTGGTGGTTATAAGCAGTTAAGCATACATTTTAGAGCTTAACATTATTATTTCTTAATTTTACTACGTTTTTCTTAACTTGCTTTCTTATCTGTCTGTTTATTTGTCTGTCGAGGTCAAATCTTGTGATTGATTTTTCGACCACTTCTACTGCTCCAATCGAGCTTAAATTTTTAATGCACACGTATTCCCGGTGACAATACAATATTTTAATACTTTGGAAACACAAAAATGCTTAATTATAGTACAATTTATGTAAAACTTTTTTAAATGGGAAAAAATCCAATGTCAATGATATAAAATTTTGATTTGTATTAAATATTATACTTGTGATGCTCTAAAGTCATTTATATGACTCATTATAGTTTAATTAATATTACCAATTATTAATTATACCATAAATTTGAGCAGCTAAAGATATTCTGGTAAGACAAAAAAATTGACATGTAATTTTTTCATGAATATTCGTAAGTGAAAATTTGAATTTTCAAAAAAACCGTTAAGCAATAAATTTGTAACGAATTAATGCAAAATAACTATATATATGAGATATGCATTCACCACACATAGTTTGAGCATAAATTTATGCTGTTTTAAATGTATTGCATTATTTATAACACTTCACCAACTTAATTAAATTGACTTTTCTTTTTTATTAACGGCTTGACGTATTTTTGCATAACATATAAATGATATTCATCGAATTTAAATTTGAAAATCCGTTATAAATACGTTACATATGTGATTTGCATCTTTATGTTAAGAATCCTCACGTTATGAAGTAGAAATGGTACAGATAAACACAAAATCTTTACGAGTGATTTTTAATGTACTTTACTAATGAATGTTTAAAAAAATTAAATTTTATAAAACGAATGAAAAATTTTGAAAGTCGTTACTAATTTCCCATTGAAAACTGGTAATTTATAAACAGTTGAACGTAACGGAGTGAAACGAAGTGGAGTTCAACACATCTGTAACCTATGAACCTACTGTAATCTATAAACAGTTGAACGTAACGAAGTGCAACGAAGTGGAGTTCAACACACCCGTAACCTATAAACCTACTGTAATCTATAAACAGTTGAACGTAACGAAGTGAAACGAAGTGGAGTTCAACACACCTGTAACCTATGAACCTACTGTAATCTATAAACAGTTGAACGTAACGAAGTGAAACGAAGTGGAGTTCAACACACCTGTAACCTATGAACCTACTGTAATCTATAAACAGTTGAACGTAACGAAGTGCAACGAAGTGGAGTTCAACACACCTGTAACCTATAAACCTACTGTAATCTATAAACAGTTGAACGTAACGAAGTGCAACGAAGTGGAGTTCAGCACACCTGTAACCTATAAACCTACTGTAATCTATAAACAGTTGAACGTAACGAAGTGCAACGAAGTGGAGTTCAACACACCTGTAACCTATAAACCTACTGTAATCTATAAACAGTTGAACGTAACGAAGTGCAACGAAGTGGAGTTCAACACACCTGTAACCTATGAACCTACTGTAATCTATAAACAGTTGAACGTAACGGAGTGAAACGAAGTGGAGTTCAACACACATGTAACCATTAAACCCCCTATAATCTTTATTTCTCTATTTCATTAGAATAAGACTAAAAAGTAGAAAATAAAATACTTTATAAAAAAAACTTTTTAAAAAAACTACGTTTTTCGCGTAGACTAAAAAGTAGAAAATAACTTTTATTCTTGGTTGTAAAGAATTTGGTTTTAAATTTTCAGATTATATTTAATAAATTTTTATATCCTAGTCAATATTGTTCACAAAGTTTCGAATAAGTGCACTTTGATCTTATCGTATAACTCAACAACTTAAAAACGTGGGCGCATTAAGTTTATCATAAAGTATTGATTTCACATAAACTTATTTCTCCTCTTATAATGCGCCCACGTTTTTAAGTTGTTGAGTTATACGATAAGATCAAAGTGCACTTATTCGAAACTTTGTGAACAATATTGACTAGGATATAAAAATTTATTAAATATAATCTGAAAATTTAAAACCAAATTCTTTACAACCAAGAATAAAAGTTATTTTCTACTTTTTAGTCTACGCGAAAAACGTAGTTTTTTTAAAAAGTTTTTTTTATAAAGTATTTTACTTTCTACTTTTTAGTCTTATTCTAATGAAATAGAGAAATAAAGATTATAGGGGGTTTAATGGTTACATGTGTGTTGAACTCCACTTCGTTTCACTCCGTTACGTTCAACTGTTTATAGATTACAGTAGGTTTATAGGTTACAGGTGTGTTGAACTCCACTTCGTTGCACTTCGTTACGTTCAACTGTTTATAGATTACAGTAGGTTCATAGGTTACAGGTGTGTTGAACTCCACTTCGTTGCACTTCGTTACGTTCAACTGTTTATAGATTACAGTGGGTTTATAGGTTACAGGTGTGTTGAACTCCACTTCGTTGCACTTCGTTACGTTCAACTGTTTATAGATTACAGTAGGTTTATAGGTTACAGGTGTGTTGAACTCCACTTCGTTACGTTCAACTGTTTATAGATTACAGTAGGTTTATAGGTTACAGGTGTGCTGAACTCCACTTCGTTGCACTTCGTTACGTTCAACTGTTTATAGATTACAGTAGGTTTATAGGTTACAGGTGTGTTGAACTCCACTTCGTTGCACTTCGTTACGTTCAACTGTTTATAGATTACAGTAGGTTCATAGGTTACAGATGTGTTGAACTCCACTTCGTTTCACTCCGTTACGTTCAACTGTTTATAAATTACCAGTTTTCAATGGGAAATTAGTAACGACTTTCAAAATTTTTCATTCGTTTTATAAAATTTAATTTTTTTAAACATTCATTAGTAAAGTACATTAAAAATCACTCGTAAAGATTTTGTGTTTATCTGTACCATTTCTACTTCATAACGTGAGGATTCTTAACATAAAGATGCAAATCACATATGTAACGTATTTATAACGGATTTTCAAATTTAAATTCGATGAATATCATTTATATGTTATGCAAAAATACGTCAAGCCGTTAATAAAAAAGAAAAGTCAATTTAATTAAGTTGGTGAAGTGTTATAAATAATGCAATACATTTAAAACAGCATAAATTTATGCTCAAACTATGTGTGGTGAATGCATATCTCATATATATAGTTATTTTGCATTAATTCGTTACAAATTTATTGCTTAACGGTTTTTTTGAAAATTCAAATTTTCACTTACGAATATTCATGAAAAAATTACATGTCAATTTTTTTGTCTTACCAGAATATCTTTAGCTGCTCAAATTTATGGTATAATTAATAATTGGTAATATTAATTAAACTATAATGAGTCATATAAATGACTTTAGAGCATCACAAGTATAATATTTAATACAAATCAAAATTTTATATCATTGACATTGGATTTTTTCCCATTTAAAAAAGTTTTACATAAATTGTACTATAATTAAGCATTTTTGTGTTTCCAAAGTATTAAAATATTGTATTGTCACCGGGAATACGTGTGCATTAAAAATTTAAGCTCGATTGGAGCAGTAGAAGTGGTCGAAAAATCAATCACAAGATTTGACCTCGACAGACAAATAAACAGACAGATAAGAAAGCAAGTTAAGAAAAACGTAGTAAAATTAAGAAATAATAATGTTAAGCTCTAAAATGTATGCTTAACTGCTTATAACCACCAAAAAATTTCATTATCTTAGAGAAACACTTAGGATAACTCAGTTTATTTTAAATTCTAGAAAAACAGGAAAACAGCTGTTTTTAAAAATCAAAAACCGAAAACAGATTGTTTTTCAAAAACAGCTGTTTTCCACAAACCCTATTTCTGATTCTAGCAGTTTTGATAATTTATTTTAAAATTTCATTCCTCTTTTTCCAGTTTCCTGATCCAAGAACTACAAAGTTGTACCGGGGATTCTTGACATATTTCGTAAATGAATCGTACTCGCTTAAAACAGACTTCCTAAATTACCTTAGCATTGAGTTTGAGGTCGAGGACGTTGATGCAAGAAATTAATCGATTCTTGGAGCGCCATCCAAACTTTAAAAAGCGACTCGAAGAATACAACAACTGGCAAAGTCTGAGGAAACTAGCTGTAAGTCATTGCATCTTATATTTATTTATTAGATGCCATACTTATTCACACTAATGTTATTATTCTTTTGTTCCTTTAGGATTACACTCATCCTGCACTTCGAGATGAATTCAGTTGTTTGCTGGAGCATTTCTAGGACAGTCCATTCAAAATCAAGAAGGAGCTATTGAGTTTTCTTGAGGTTTGGGATGAATTTTACGGCTTTCAAAATTTAAACGCTCAAACACGCAAGATTCTTGCTAAATGTCCAAAACTCAAACGCGAACTCCTGGAATACAATGTTTTGGCAAAAATCCAAGACTGCAAGGTAAGAAATAAATCCCTTATTTAAAAGCTTTCAATTGTTTTTTGTTTTTCGTCGTCGTCTGAATTCTGAATGGTGTTCATTTAGTAATAGTTTGCTTTCTAAGGTTCATTGGAGTCGTCTGTTCAGAATTTGTTCTCATCTTAATCGGTGTTTGAATCTTAATAATCTTAATAATCTTAATAATTCATATTTTGTTTATTTTTCAGTATGTCACATCGAGCAGTACATATAGAAGCAGCTGTGTATGTCCAACTCTTCCACTTAAATCTCCTGGATTTATAAGGTCGGTGAAAAAAATGTGTTCATGGGTTCGTAGGAAGATCACTTGTTCAAGCTATTAATTTAATTAATGGGATGAAGGTCGACCGATTTTTTTAATGTAAGGGAGGGGGGTTCGTTTTGTATAATGTGTCGCTCTGTCTGAAGTCATTTCTGTCAATCTGTCTGTTCGTGTCCGTCCGTGATAAACCGTTATTTAATCTATTTCTTTTACAGCTTTTACTTACCTTATTATTTTACTGAAGAATTGGACTTAGTCCAAACCATTCACAACAAATAATATCCAAACGTGGTTGAAATTTTTTTACTAAACAATATATTTTATTTAAAGTGATAATTTATGATTAAAAACATCAACAAATCCAGTGTTTTCATAAGTTTCTAAGTGATATTTATTGTGTATTGCAAAATCATGTCGGAAGAACTTGAATACGAATCATTCGAGTGTTTGGAAGATTATTATGAAGAAAATTCAGAATCGGAAATTTATGTTGCTGAAGATAATGATGTATGTATTTTAAGTAATTCAATTATTTAATTCTGAGTTATCTATTTTTGTGTTTTCTGATTGTTCATTTTAATAGCAAAGCATCAAATTTTTTACAACATCCAGTGGCAATGAGAAATTATCATTTGACGAATATAGTTTTTATCATAACAAAACAACAGGATCAATAAGCTACTTTCAATGCGCCAATAAGAACATTGGATGCAAATCACGTATTAAGGTTGTCACAACTGAAAATGGAATTTGTAATGTTTTTCCCCCAAAATTAAGTCATGATCATATTGTCAAGCCTATTAAGACAGCAACAGAAATTGCTTTGAGCAATCTTAGAGAGAAAGCTGCTGCTGATGGTTCTCGTCCTTGTCAAATATTGAATGATTTCTTGGCCGATCCTGAAAACCGCTACATAAATGCAAACTTTCCATCAAGACAAGCACTTACTCAACGTGTGCAACGTGTTCGAGTCAAAAATAGCGAAAAATTGCCTCCTGAACCTGAATCTTTGGATTTTGAATATGATAGAGTCTTTTGTTCCATTTATAACGAGTTTATTGTACTTGGAGATTGGTGTGAAAACGATGGATTTAAAAGAGTTACTTTTTCTCTTCATCACGTTTCTTCAATTTTTTATGTGATAGCGAGATTTGGTTGGCTGATGGAACATTCCAGACATGCCCAAAGCTTTTTTACCAACTCCTTATCATTCACGGAAACCTTCTAGAAGATCGTTATGTTGATGTCAGGAAAGTCTGTTTATTTGTACGATAAAGCTTTGTGTTTGATTCAACAGATCACAAGAAATCGTGGAAAGAGAATTCGTTTCACGCATGCATTATTCGACTTTGAAATAAAAGTGTCAGTATCATTCCAGAAATCATTTCCGCATGCTAATTATTCAGGATGTCTTTTTCATTTGGACCAAAATATAGTAAAACGTGTTGAATCTTGTGGTTACTATAAGGACTTTCTTCGTGATCACGCATTTTACATTGAAATTTCTTGCATCATGCCTTTACCTTACTTTCCGCCAAACGAAATTATTTTATATTTTGATGCTTTATTTATTACATTATCCCAAAAAGCACAACAAATTGCACTTTGGTTCAAAATCAATTATATCCAAGGCAACGAAGGAAGAGAACCTAGATATAGACCAACATTTTGGAGCATATATGACAATTTCATTAATGGCTATCCAACGACACAAAACTGGGCTGAATCTTATCATCATAAAATGCATTGCATCCTTGACAATGAACGTCAATCAATTTATAAGTTCTTGCAGTTTTTAAAAAAGGAATTCGTTTCAATTGATTTAGATATTGATAAATATCTTACTGGAAAACCTCAAAAGCACAGAATGTCAGGTTTTGAGCGTACTGAAAATGCAATAAAATCAATCATCAATCGACGGCAATCTGTGCCACGCATAGAAACATTAAGAGCTTTAGTGAAAGTTAAGAACGACTTAAGAGCCTAATATTATTTATTTTTATTTTGTATCTTGAAGTGTGAACCAAGACTGATTAAAAAAGTTAAGAAATATCTTAATTCCAACGCGTGTACAATTCTTGTTAATTATGAAAAAAACTTTAAAATAAAAAAAAACACTTTCAAAATAAGGGGCCGTTCACTTATTACGTTCGCATTTTAGGGGGGGGGGGCGGGGGGGGTGTCAAGAAGTATGTAACGCTCTAACTGTCATCTGTCTTTTAAAATAAAATCTTTCAAAATAAAATAAATTATGAACGTTCAGGGGGAGGGGGGTTGTGACTTGTAACATATTGTAACAAGTGGGGGAGGGGGGGGGGGGGTGAAAAAAGTCGTTTTTTTGCGTAACGTAATAAGTGAACGGCCCCTTATTTTGAAAGTGTTTTTTTTTTATTTTAAAGTTTTTTTCACAATTAACAAGAATTGTACACGCGTTGGAATTAACCGATTATTAAAATTTTAAATTCATAAAAAAACTCGTAAAAATTAATTTTCGGAAAAATGATATGTTCCTAAAAATGAGAGTTCGTAAAACTGAAATTTCGAATTTTTGAAATTCGTTATTTTAATAGGGACTCCTCTATTTTGTCTTGGTATAGTTTTCAAATTTTAAAACGCCGTTAGCTTCAAACATGATTTTTTCATTAAAAATTTTGAAAAAAGGAACGAAAATAGAATTTTTTTCATTGAAGAAAAAATTGTAAGTAATGGCTAAATTAATGGAATGCAGTTTTTGTGAAACATAATCCTTTAAAAAGCAAGTTTGAAGCTGACGGTTTTTATAAATTTGAAAATCATCCAAAAAAATAAAGTTTTGAAATTTTAAAATTCGTTACTTAAATAGGCGCTCGATTTTTTCATCAAGTCGTTTACCCCTTTTCATTGTTCCAAATTTGTCTAGGAAGTGAAAAACCTAGAAAACGTTAAATAAATATAGTTTAAGTAAGTTTAAAGCACTTTAAGGTAAGTCAAAACATTTATTATCCAATTAACATAGTGTTGAGACTATTTTTCCTTTCATTTTTCGTCGTTATAGTGCATTTAATCCAATTTTCCTTTTTCCCTGCTTTTAAAACTTGAAGATTATTAAATTAACTATGAATAAATCTGCAGAATCATCATTTGCACCGCTTGAATACTATAAGAAGCTCACAAACTGCCTTGCAAATCGTAAGAACTTGAAATTAAACATCAGCAAGATCCAAGGAATAAGATCCAGCACTGATTTTCGTTTTAAATCAACACCATTTATAACAAATCGTAAGATCCAGCTCAAGTTCCTCGCTAATTATCGTATGCGAAAGGAATTTAACGCAAATCAGAAGCAACAACGCGAAAAATCGGCAAATAAGCCCGACGAAGCTATTTTTAATGTCAAAAACAAGAATAATACAGCATTAAATGAGAAATTAAAGCGTAAGACTAACGAAGAGAGCTACATCAATTTATCAGACTCGTATTTTAAGGGAAATCAAATTCCAGATTTATCATTATTCAAAGTTCCTGGAATTCCGCCAATTAAGCGTCAAAAGATCCAGATCTTACCAAATACAGTCAATACGAGCAGCATAACAATTGCATCACTCTTTTCTGAAGATTTCAATCCAAAGCAATTCTCAACGCCAATAACACAAGATAAAGCACATCCAAAACCGTTAATTGCTGATCCAAACGACTTTTTGCCATCATTGGGAAATTTAGAGTTAGTAATGGAAGAAGAAGGCAATGATAAATGCATGAATGATAGAATTGAGGCAGCACGAGAACTTGACAAAATGAAGGCATACAAAAATCTCATCGACGATGCTGCAACATATGTAGAATCAGTCTGTTTTGGAGAATTAACAGACGCAATAATCGCAATCATAAAGCGACTCTACAATAAGTACGAAGAAGCATCACAATCACCCCGACCATCATTAATCTCGTCAACAAGCATCCGTAGCTTAATAAATGTTTTCACACAAACATCAATGGAAGCTAAAAAGACTCAATCGTGGCCAGTTCCGATATTCTACAATCAACTAAAAGGAGAAACAGTTAATGACTTCACATATGACAACAACGACGATGATATTAATCCATTATTTGAGAACACAAAAGACTTATTCTCCTTTTTGGATGATGACGATTCATTAGATCTTGAAACGACTCCAATTGAGTTCGATAAGACTCCAACAACATCACAAACAAGCTTCTTTGGTCACACACCACATCCAGCAGCTAATACATTCTTGTCATCGACACGATTCTGCTTGACTCCATATCCACGTAGTCCAGGATATGGCGAATGTGATGATTTGGACTGGTTGGGAGCAAAGTTTGACACATCAATGGATATGAGTTTTGAAACAGAAAGTAATTTATCATTCGCTGATAAGCGTAATGACAATTTGAATTCAGATATTTCTGCCATTTTCCGTTCACCACCAAATTCCAATAATCAGGAATCAAATAAGCCATTTTCGCGTGTCATATCACGTCCAAAAACGACATCAAATCGCAATAGTGAATCGGACGGGTTGTCTGATAAGGAAGATGATTATTCGTGGTGGTTTAATATTAACGATAATACACCAAATAATAACACATTCATGTCTAAAAATGATACACAAGATATTTTTGATACTAAATTTAATTTGTTCTAATTTACTTATTTACTTCTTCCAATAAAGCTTCTTCGTAACCTTCTTCTTATACACAAATAAAAAATTTGAATGTTAATTAAAAGAATTTTGTTCTGATATTTAACGTATTTTTGAGATTTAAAATATAACGGTTTTCAGCAATTTGAAATCTTAATTTAACTGTTTCCAAAAATGAACGGTTATTAAAAAATTTCAAATTTCTTATTTAACGGCTTTGTGAATTCTTTTGGGAAGCATTCAAACTACCTTTTTAAGAATATTCTTACCACATTTATTCATGCAAATTATTCACCTCAAAATCTGATTCATCATCTTTATTTGATTATTTTAATAATGTAGTTAAGACTCAATTTTTGACATGATGAAAAGCTAGAGAAAATTCATTTAAACTTATATAATCAAGAAAATTCAATATAAATTTAGCATATTACTAAAGGAAATTTCCCGGAGAGCACTAAATCAAGTCTCAGCTGTGATTTTAAAAATGCAAGCAAGTCAGGCAAAAATTTAATTTCGGAATGGATATTTTTGCTTGTAATTAGATTGTGAAAATTGCAGAGATGTTAGGGGCTGTTCACTTATTACGTAACGCGGAAAAATGACTTTTTAGACCCCCCCCCCCCTCGTAACAAAATTTGTATGAAAAAAAAATTTCCTTGTTTGAACCGTAACAAAATCTTAGACCCCCCTCTCCCCCTAAAAGCGTTACGTAATTAGTGAATGGCCCCTTATTTTAGGAGAAAATTATTGAATTTTCCAGTGCAATTTCTAGTTTCCAGAAATGCTCTCAAAAACTGGAATCATTAAATTCAAATTTCAAATAACCGTTATTGATTAAATAAAAACTTTGAATTTATTTCGACCGTTAAATGAGTTCTCATTCCAACCCATCCAAAAATCAAAATACCAACCCAGACTTCATCAAAAGAAAACTGCACAAGCAAGCACCATCTTGCTCACATTAATTAAACTTTAATTTCCTTTATGCATAAATCGATTAAAATAATCAACATCGTCATCACAATTTTTTTCTAAAGCATAGCTTTTCTCGTTCCATTCACTCGCACTTGATTTACTTTCATGCTCAAATGAATGTCAAAAGAAGCCTGAAAGAGGAAGTGCAGTCGTTTTTGAAGTTCACAAGTGCATGATGCTTTCTGTAATATTTTTTAATTTTTCCCTTTGAAGTTCAGAATTATTTGCATGAGAGCTGTTTAACATCTTTTAGCGCCATGTGTATAGTTACTGGATTTTGTTTTTCACAAAATGGTACAACGATGCATCAAAAATGAGGAGCAAGTTAGGAAAGTCAATATAAAGTGTTTGTATTCGCTTCAGGCTGAACTTTATGGTGTTGATGTAGATACAGTAACTTTGGAGTATAGGAATAAGGATATAGCATGCTTATAATAAGCTTTGATGTGTGTTAATTTGTAAATTTATTTTACTTTTGATGTTTGTGCAGGAAATGCAAGAGATGAAACCTTAGAAATGCTTTCAATGCTCCAAAACCATGCAAATGTTTTAAATGTTCCAAAACGGCACAAATGTTTAACGCTTTCAAAACCTTACAAATGATCCAAAATCACATCTAAACTAAAACCTCACAAATGTTTAAAAATTTCAAAACCATACAAATGTTTAAAATGTTCAAAACCATACAAATGTTTTTAATTTGCTAAATGTATGAACTTTTCTCAAAAATGCACAATTTTCATCCTTAAAGTTAGAATAAATTTTCATAAATGCTTTCCATAATTTAAAAGATGAGGATGTCTTTCCTGTAATTTTGATCGAAACAATCACTCTTGACAAACTGCACAGTCAACTTAACATCCATTTCCTGTGAATTACTTTAAAATAATGAAAAACTTTTCACAAGAGGATCATTTTATGCATTCATAATAAACATTATGACTTTGTGCATTTCCACTAATGAAGATTGTTGCTGTAATTAAAATTAAAAAGACGGCACAGAAAAATAAGGGAGTCGTGAATGAAGTCGAGACTGGCATTTTTTATGAGATGAACTGAATGACAGGCAATTAAATTGCAATAAAAATGTGCTTGTGGATGAATAAATAAAAGAGTAAACAGCAATTTCCCAGGAGAAGGTGGTTGATGAAAGTTTATGAATATTTCATTTATTCTGTGCTTATTTTCTGGTTGGATTCACAATTTTAATTTTTTTCTGTATTTTTATGACAACTAAATTATTGGGAAGTTAAAAGTGCAGTTTTTAAAGGATATCGGATGTAAATGTCTAATTAAGTCATTCCAAAGTGGATATGACACGTGTAAGTTCAATTTAATCTTCAATATATTCAAATGGTTCTGGTGCGTCTGGTTCCTTTGCATCATCATTAGTCTTTGGTCCGCAAGCGACAACTGGTTCAACCAAGACTTGTTCATTCTCAGATGTATATTTCATCATGATAATTCCTCCAATTGTGACATCCTTAATTGGTTGATAAGGAGCTCCATCAGCAACACTTATGACCTTCAATTGTTGACGTAAGACACGTGGTGGATTGCTCAACATTTCAAATGTTGGTTCCGGTTCCTTACGTTCTTTTGGAGTTGCTGGAGCTGCTGTTGAAGCTTCATCAGTCTTTTCCTTTTCATCCTTAGCTTTCTTGTCTTTCTTATCAGTTGTAACTACTGTAGTTGTAGTTGTTGTTGTTGTTGTTACTACTGCTGCTGGCTTTTCATCCTTTGTTGTTTCATCGACGTCCATTTTTTCGCCATCATCTTTCTTTTTGTCACCTTCGCGACGCTTTTGACGTGCGGCAATCGACAAAACAGCTGTTGTGACCTTTTCACGTTCCTCGCGTTTCTTCTCTTCTAATGGTGCTGGATATGCATACAATGATGGACGTGCCGATGACTTGTATTCAATTTTCGGCATTTTAAGGTCAGAATTAAGTCCAATGATGCATGTTGGTGTAAATGCAAGTGACAAGCAATGAGCTAATGGGAACCAATACCAATATTGAGTAAAGACCAATGTACCGACAACAGCTTGTAAATTTGTATGTCCAGTACGAGATTGTAAGCCCAATGTTGCATTACGTCCGCCACCATCAATAATTCCTTGAGCCAAAATGGCACCAAATTTAGCAATCGTATCTTCATGCTTGCTGCTAATGACTTGCGAATATAATTGTCGGAAGAAAGTGACTTTTGGACATGTCTGATCGGTGTGCTGGATAAGAATCATGGCTGAAGCAATCTGTTAAAGAAAGAGAATAAAATAATTAAATAAGTTTCTGGATTGTAATTTAAATAGAATGGTAAGGAAGTTGTCAGGATAAATAAACTTTATTGTGGTTTCCGACTTGTGCATGGAGAGTCTTGATTCCTTTTGTTTTATTGTTATGAAACAAGTTAAACCTCAGTGACCAGAAAATCACTGCAGTGTGATGTGGCACTCAAAACTTGCAAACTTGCAGCATAATAATCTTAGTTTTATAACTCACCAAAGCACCCTGACGAACAAAATTGACAGGATCGAATTTAGCCAACGGTTCCAACAAAGCAATTGCTTCACGTGAGCCAGTTCCAGCGCATGCAATACCTAATGAAATAAATAAAAGAAAGAAGAGTTAATTGAGCAAGACATAAACACAGAAAATATGTCAAGAAATGTGTTACCTAATGCCATAGCTGCGCCATAACGTACGTGTGGATTATAAGATTCGGCAAGGAGAGATACAACTGATGGACATTGCTCCGGGTTGCTGTAAATGACAAAGAAATATGATAATTAATTTTTGGTGTATAAAAAGAAATTTTGAGTCCCATGCGGGAAGTTTTGGGTATATTGCTAATAGTCAGACTCTCACATTCGAGGAAATTCTCATAAAATTATATCAAGGACATTCTCATTAACAAGAACGAACCACCTTCCAAATTTTCTACGTCTATCGGATTTATCGCAAGCTAAATGTGACTTTAAGGACATAACAAGTTTGTAACATCATGCAGGGAGGGATAAAATACGGAAGCTAGAAAACAAGAGAGAATCGATTGTCCAAAAACTGCTCGATTAAACACAAATTATAGCAATTCCAATTAATTAGATGCCCTTTTTCTCCACTTCAACATTCATTGCGTAGTAATAAGAATGGTATAAATGTTCATCATCAGTTTTTTTATGCTTCGACAATGGCCGAAGCTCGCTCAGACTCGTTCTAATGAAGGGCAAATCAATCAGGCAATTCTCTACCAAATGTGTATTTCATTGGACACGAAATGGAGGGAATCTTTTGGGGTGGGTTGTGCTGTGTTTGTTGTGACTCAATGTCTTTTTGTGTGGCAAAAAATTAATTCTCAATATAAATCTTTTTAGTATAGATTTAAATGAGAAATCACAAATTTTTGAGGTTATGTTCTCTAGTTTCGAAATAACTTTACCTTTTGAGCATATTAAATTGTCAAGCCAACTTCATATTATCGTTGCCACTTTTTTCTACCGATAAAGTTAAGTTAAACATTTATTTTTATAAGTTTTAAGTCTTTAAAGTTTGAAAAACTTTTTGAAGTGACAAAAATCTGCCATTTTGTTTTTCATTGTTGAGTTTTTGAGTTTGGGATCAAACCTTTACGGTGTGTATATTCAAAGATGTCTAAAGCATAATATAATTTTAATAGGCAAATCTTCAGTCTAATTGAGCCAAGATTTTTTTAAAAAAAGTGCGCCTTAGTTCCTTTCATTCTCTCCATAAATTCATAACAAAATTTTTTAGGGTGCGTAAAAATTTCATTTTTTTTTCTTGCTCAAGGAAAAGCTAATAAATTTTCCACTTGTAGAAAAATATTTACTCAGATATTAAGAGTGTCCATCAGACATTTTCGTAACCGTTCATATTTTTATGTCTATTCAATAATTTTTTTACTCTCCGGTTTTTATGAAACATTTTTCTTGCACCTTCAGAGAGAGGTTTTTCTCTGCCTTCATTCAATTGAGTTTTTATTCCCGATAATCATTTTGGGGATTGGGATGAGAGCCTTCAGCAAGTGAATACTATTTAAACCATAGCAAAACAGAGTTCAAAAATAAATGAAAGCCTCGAAAGGATCCCTAAATACACCTCTGACCCGCAATATTTTGACAGTCAAATGGAACATTGTACCAAGAATTAGACTGAACATCTAGGGATTAGAAACTCAATTAACCAACTTTCTTTCCACTGGGATTTACTATGTCTTAAAGGATTAGTATGTACACTTTTTATAATTACATTCTGTCATCAATCAATCGCGAGATGACTTAAGTATAGTTTATAATAACTTCACACTTTATGTCTTAATAATCCGACATCTGTCTATTAACAAAATTAGCTTCCATCCCCTTCTACACACACCAGCCTGGCCATAATTCTTTTCATTTCTTCTTCAAGTTTTCAATTAATTTTGTAATAAAATTTTTTTTTATGATGATTGAATATGAATCCATTGAACGATGACTTGGTGATTTTATATTCTCTTTTTTTCGTGAAATATTCAATAGAAGTAATAACAATAAAAGAGAAACATATGTACAGTAATAAGAGTCTACTGTAGCGGTTCCGATTGTAAAGTTTATTTAATTTTTGAGGTTTTCTTTTTCAATCGATTTAGAGTTATTGAGGAAGTCGTGTGGAGCGTGCGACTTTGATGGGTTAATGAGTAATGGTTATTTTTATCCCCTTTTTGGAGTGAGGTGCTGGATTCGTGCGATGGGCATGACTTCTGATTAAATGTATGGTTTTAAAGAATTAAGGTCAAAAGTCATGCGTTGCATACGATTGTTGGTAGTTATTATTCATATATTATCATTAAAACATATCGGAACCGTGTGATGCATGCGACTATTGTGACCGTTTAGCTATTATCTAGTGTCATTTAACCCAAGACCTTAATCGTACACCGACTACGGCTATGAACAACGAGTGTAATAAGTGCGATATAATGTCGATGTCAACCCCTCCCCCTTAATTTCTGGAAACGCTCCAAAATTCCAAGAACAATTTTGAAATTTTAATTATTTTCGGGTAATAATAACCGCTAGACACATACGGATGATGGAATTGAGGATCATCTTCATCTTCAATTATAACCTTGAACTTGTTTTATGAAGAAGATTCGCTCTCTGTATTTTAAATATATATATATCCACGTACTGAGTGTACTGAGAAGAACTACAGATGATGATGAAGAAGAAAAGAAGCGACTGAGCGAGAGATAATGACTTGAACATTAACGCACAAAAGAATTTCAAAATAATAACAAAAAAAATTGTATTTATTTATATTTTAGTACAATATTCTATTTGCCAATATTTTTTTTTGATGGGCGATGATCTTTTGGCTCTTACAATTCATCACCATTAAAATGGCCTACAAGAAGACAAAACGGAACAAAAATTGTAATTTATGAAAATACTCATTCAATGTACTTAGTTTAATGAACAACACGCGGATGAGTAAAAATAAATAATTTTTTTTGTGTCTTTTATATAGACAATGGCAAATGTGAGGAAGAGCTCGAGTAAATAATTATAATATTCTCTTTTTTCCATCTTTTAATTATAACTTTTAATACTCATTTGTCTTCCATCGCTGGTACTTATAAGTAATGAACACTTTTGTGATATTAAAATTACAATTTTTTGACATTGAGGAACTAAATATAACTGTTTGAGTCAATTTAATTAGTATAAAGAACAAACAAATTATGTGCGATTTAATATTTGTAGATTTTTTTACCAGTTGATACATTTACACATTCGATATTGATTCTGGGAAATTTTTTGTTTAAAATCATTGACCTTGGATTAACTTTGTCATTTTCTCGCGGATTTCTCACATCAAAACTTTAAGTGTTTATATTTCTGTGAGAGAAAGCAGAGGAACAGAGATTTTTGTGAATTCTAGTTCTAGAAAGTGGAGCATGCAAGAATCAAGCAACTTATTTTTACAGTTTATTGAGCAAAAGGTTGAAAATCAAGTTTTTAAATTCACTGGTCATTCTTGTTGAAAATCTCAAATTGTTAATAGTTTTCCTGACTAATGTAGTTCAAGAAGTGAAGGAGAAGACCATTTGAAAGATTTTGAATCACACAATGGTTAAGAAACATAGATTTAAGTCCTGAATTTACAATATATTGAATATTAGCGAATACAGCTTTCTGACAAACAACCTAATTTTCCTCTTCAACATTCAGACTCAGAAATAAATAAAAACCACCATTCAAGCGCCAACAGCCCTCACAAACATACTAATTATACAACAAAACCCATTAATTTATTTCGCAAATGTAAATTGCTTGCCGAAAATTCAATAATTGATGACAATCGTACACTAATGTGAGACTCAAAAGGCGCAAAAAAAATAACAAAAAAGATAAAATTATAAAAAAATTTAAAGAAGCATCACGAAGTGCTGTGCAAACAAGAGAAAGAATTTAAAATATTTTTTTTCGTGCCTAAATGGTGCATGAACATTTTTTTTCATCGTCTCATCCTCTAGAGAGTATTTTTAAGAAATTAGTGATTTTTATCTTTTTAAACATTTCATGACTAGACCAAATGGTGTGGATGTTTATTTTGAAGTGTGCATGTGTAGTTATTATTAGAAGTTCTGGATGGCTTTAAGGTAGTTTTTTTTTCGTCTTTAAAGGAGTAGTTTATATTGTTTAATGATTTGGAAATTGAAGAAGGGTGTTTAATCTGAACCGAGAATTGACTAGACTTTTGGCATAGCCTATGGAAAGGAGGATTATCAAAACTAGTCTTGTTGGGATCAAGCGGTACTATGGAGGCAGTTAAACGGCAATTTTCTGCTCTTGAGTAGATTAACTGCTGCGATTTGAGTTACTATTAATACTATGGCTAAGCAGAGAGTTGTCTTAAGGTTCATAGTACGTGCCTTGACTGTCAACAATTATTGATGAACCTGGCAGCCACTTAGTTCAAATTTTGAACATCCATTTCTATCACAGTCCAACAAAAACTTGACTGATGCAATTTAACGTCTTATTGAAGTTTAATTTATTTACTTTTGAGTGACTCATGATGACTTAGTCCAGATCGCTAGATATTTATCAAAATAGACAAAAATTCCTAACAAAAAGACGCTCAGATCACCTTGATCACAAAATCACAGCCATTCAACTTCTGCACTAGTTTTAAATTTAATGTCAATGCTTGGCATTTCGTATGCCAAGAAAAACTTTTTTGTGTCTTAATTTTGTTTTTTACCGAGACAGCAAGCGGCTAATGAAATATCACCTATATGCATTACAATATATACATTTTTCTCGTTGATTATTTTTCATGAGAAAATGAGAGCAGCACGAGAGAGTGACAGGAAAGTTTTTCTCTCAACTTTTCCTCTCTCACTCTCAAATTCTGGCACAAATGAGTCTCTATTAGATGAAAATACAAGCAGCAACGAAACAGTAAGTAAGAAAAAAAAAGCTCTGTGTTGAAATGAAGAATTTTTTTTTCTATTTCTTCTGTGTACGAACACAACAAGTTCAGTATTAAATGTGATGTCGAGAGATTAAAAGCAAATTCGAAAATTATCGCAGAATAATAATTTTTTTTCAAATACATTTTATTATTTATTGTGCAGCATGACAATTTAATGCTTATGATGAGACGATTGAATATTTCTCGAAAAGGATAAGAAATGTGCGAGATATTTTCTGCTTTTAAATGAAGCATAAAATTTTTATCGCTCGAACGTGTGGAGT